TCCCTCAAGCCGATTATGCCTCAGAAGTCTGGGAAGCAGGAAAGGCAATCATTATCCCTATTTGACAGATGGGGAAACTGAGGCCCAGGGAATGACAGTGAGCTGCCACGTGTCACAGTGAGTTGGTGGAGGACAACTGACTAGAGCTCTGGCCTGAGGTTCTTACTGGAACTTAAGGCCAGTGTGCAGAGGGGTGCGGCAAAGGCAAGGGACACTGCTGGCTCAGACTAATGGACTTTGACCAATGGGCAATAAGGAAAAGAAACAGCAATAACTTCAGGCTGCTAAAGCTGGGCCCTGGTCAGAAAACTGTGTCTGAGGAGAAACAGATGGGCAGTTCTCTCTCCTCAGAGGCCCCCAAAGCAGGCCCACTCCCTGCCTTTTACCTTACAAGTTTTTCTTCCCACCCTGCACCTGTCATGCATTGTCTCCTTCAGACAGCACATGATAGGAAAGCATGTCTGCCCAGGGGTTACTAGACTGGTCTGCCTGACTGTGGTGGTCTGCCTACGTCACAGGGGCTTCTAGACCCATTCCAGATGGCTCCACTCCCTTCTGTGGAATTCATGTGCTCCATTAATACTCCAGAGGCTGTGTGTGCCAACCCAGGTGCCCAACACATGTGATACACAGTAGGCATGGGTACAGTTGTGCAGAAAGGCACACATTCGGCGGATATCCGGTGTGCCAGGCTCCAACTCAGCACCCAGATACCATCAAACCAGCCCCTGCCCTCCAGGGGGCACTAACCAGTGGCGTGAAGGGTGCCCACACTGAAGAACACGGGCACAGAGGTCTGGGTGGGAATCCCCACCACTTCTAGCTGGGCACTCTCGGGCAAGTCCACCTCTGAATGCTGAAGATAGAACAAGGGAGGGCACGAGTCCGTCCTGGCACACTAGAAGGGCTCAGTAACCAATAGCCAGGATTAGTAAAACTCCTACTATGTGCTCCCCAGGTCTACACTTTGCGAAGATACTCTAGAGAGTTTTCAAAGCACGTTCTTATTTTATCTAACCACCAAATTAGGGGGCAGAAATTATTACCCTGATTTTCCAACTAGGGAACAGAGACCCCCAAGACAGAGTTTGTCAAGCTCAGGCCAGGAACAGGAGAGAAAGCAATTTGGCTGAGGGCGCACAGCAGGTTAAGGGCAGACCCTGGTCCCCAGGCAGTGCTCTTCCACCACCCACTGCCTCTCCCCGTCGTCCAGAAGGGAGTGGATTCCGTCCCGGTGCCCACCCGGCCGCAATAACGCAGCTAATATGCGTACGGCCCCACCCCTCCCCGCTCCCTAGCTCTCTGAGCTTCATTTCCATCTGTACAATGGGCACCACTGAGTGGA